ATATGCCATATTAATTCCTGGAAGCAAGAATTACGTTGATTCCAAAAGCAGAGAAAGACCCAACCAAAAAGAGAACTACAGGCCACTCTCCCTAATAAACATAGATGCAAAAATCCTCAATAAGAAACAGGCAAGCAGAATACAGAGGATTATCAAGAGGAACATACATTCTGACTAAAGTGGATTCATTGCAGAGATGAAGAATGGTTCAACATATATAAATTAATACATATAATATCTTATATTAACAGAGTCAAGGATAAAAACCATATGATCATCCAAAAAGATGAAGAAAAAGGATTTGAGAAAATCCAACACCCATTCATTATAAAACCCCATAGAAAATTGGAATAGATGGTCTTTATCTCAACATGATAAAAGCTATCTCTGAAAAACAACAGCCAACCTTATACTAAATCAAAAACTAAAATCTTTTAGGCTAAAATTAGGAACAAGGATATTCAACATCACCACTCCTGTTTAATATAGTTTGGGAAACAGTAGCCACAGCAATTAGACAAGAGAAAGAAATAAAATGAATGAAGATAGGAAAAGAAGAGGTTAAACTGTAATTATTTGCTGACAACATGATGCCTTACATAGAAGACCCAAAAAACTCTGCTAAAAGACTTCTAGACTAAACTGACATATTCAGAAGAGTAGCTGGATACAAATCAACACTAAAAACTCAGTAGCCTCCTCATACACAAATAACAGACTCACTGAAAGAGAAATTGGGGAAACAGTTCTTTCCACAATAGCATCCAAATATTAAAATGTCTATGAATCAATCTAATAAAGAAAGTAAAAGACCTCTATCTTAAGAACTACACAACTCTGAAAAAAGAGATTGAAGAGGATATAAGAAAATAGAAAGACATCCCTTGTTCCTGGGTAGAAGAACCAATATAGTGAAAATGGCCATACTTCCAAAACTGTTATATGGGTTCAATGCAATCCCAGTTGAAATACCAACAGTACATTTCACAGAACTAGAGAAAATAATCCAAAAATTCATTTTGAACCAGAGGAGACCTATAATAAAGGAAATTCTAGGCAAAATAGACGCGGCAGCGGGTATCACAATCCCCAACTTGAAACTCTACTACAAAGCCACTGTGGTGAAAACAGAATGGTACTGGCAAAGAAACAGATCAGAGGATCAGTGGAATAGATTAGAAGTTGCGGAAACAACTGCAGATATACTTAGCCACCTCATCTTTGACAAAGGAGCCAACTACCTTCACTGGAAGAAAGATAGACTCTTTAATAAATGCTACAGGAAAAACTGGATTTCAACCTGCCAAAGATTAAAACTAGACCTATATCTTTCACCATGCACTAAATTTAAATTGAAGTGGATCAAATATCTAAATATTTAAGCATAAATATTAAACTTGGAAGATAGGTTAGGTAAGATGATTGAAGATATTGCCCTAGGAAAAGACTTTTTGAACAAAACGTCAGTAGCAGGGGAACTAAGGCAAATAATTAAAAAATGATATCTTATCTTATTAAAAAGCTCCTGTATCGCAAGAGAAACCAACAGAGGTAAGAGACAACCTACAATGTGGGAAAAAAATTTTACCAGCTCCTACTCAGACAAAGGACTACTATCTAGAATATATAAAAAATTTTTTAAAATCAGACTCCCCAAATTTAAAGACCCAATTCAAAAATGGGCATCTGAAAGAAAAAGACATTTCCCAGACAAAGAAGTAAAAGAAGCAAATAAACATATGAAAAAAAGATCAACATTACTGGTCATTCAAGTGATAAAGATGAAAACAACACTGACATTTCATCTACTCCAGAAAGAGTGGCTGCTATCAAGAAATCAACTAAGAACAAATGCTGGCCTGTTTGTAGCAAGAAAGGAACACTTCTCCATTGTTGGTGGGAATGCAGGTTGGTGCAACCACTGTGGAAATCAATACGGAGAAACCTCAAACACTAGAATTAGAGGTTCCATTTGCCCAGCTATTCCCCTGATAGGTATCCTCCCAAAAGAATTAAGAGTCACACCACAGTGATATATGCACACCCTTGTTTATAGCAGCACAGTGGGTAACAGTTAAAACTTGTAAACAGCCCAATCGCCCATCAACTGGAGACCATATAAAGAAGATGTGGGTTTTAAAAAAATATATAATGGAATACTACTCAGCCATAAAATAATGAGAAACTAGAGACATTTATAGCTAAATGGATACACATTGAGGCCATACTCTTAAGTGAAATAAATAACGCACATGTGTAAATCCTGAAAAGCTTATTTTCTGTTAGAAATGAAAGTGTAAATAAGGATCAATATGTATAATAGATAATGTGAAATATGAAGTAAAGGTCTAAAGTGGAAGGGGTAGTGAGAGGGATAGGGCAAATAAAGAAGGGAGAGGAATAAATATGAGAAAAGGAAAAAAGGGAAACAGCCCTTATAAATAAGAAAGTGGTAGAGAAGATGGAGGGCAGGGGAATGGAGAAAAATAAGAACCGAGATATATCATGTAAAAGTACAAATTTCTAAAGATGAATGTCATCATATTGTTGTTATGGAAGGAATCAGTAAGTGACACAGAGAGGCAGCAGAATGGAAGTAAAATAATAAATTTACTTATCGATAAGGGTTGATCGCACATAAGCCGTGCCTGGATCAACGATGCACTGCGTTACAGCCCCTCCTTTTATAGGGTTTTACAGACTTGACTTCATTTGGGTGGTTACATTTCATTCACGCAGTTCAAATCATGGTCACAGAATAGTTCATCTTTTCAACCCAGATGTAACAGTTCTTCGCAGTTGGGGAGTTTACCTTTAAGATTCGCCTAGTTATCTATTCTGGTCCATAGGAAGGGGATGTTCAGGGTCAGGGGAGCAAATGTTAGCAATGGATTTCTTTCATTTAGATGCTTTTATGATCAGGTGGCTCCAGTCTCATCAGAGCTCAAGACCTTGACTGTTATCTCAGGGTCAGACCAAATGCCTCATTCAGCAATTAGTGCCTTCAGTGCCTATTAGTTTTTTGTTTTTTGTTTTTTGTTTTTTTAATTTTATTGAGTTTATTGGTACATTTTAGGGATACAGTACAGTTACATTCATTGTTGGGATCATGTACCTCTACATGGCAAGTCTTGATTCTCATTTTTTCCCCCTACCTCTGCCCTCCCTTCACCCCCTCCTCCCCTCCCCATCTACAAACACTTTATTTTCATCTTTTCATTCTCTCACATATTTTTCTTTTCCCTTTTTGTTCTTCCCCTACGCATCACACCTTCCCTACACCTTTAGCTCCTTTCTTCAAATTTCTAAATGTCAGTAATCTTATTAGAATCTTATGCATTGTTGCAGAATATTCACACCAGGGAAACTATTTGGTATTTACACATGTGTGACTTATTTATTTCACTTAGGAGTATATCTTCAATAGGTGCCTATTAGTTTTGAGCTAAACAAAACAAACTGCTGTTAGGGACAGCAGAAGCTATTTTACATTGTAACACTTTATAGGTTTTGCTATTTATAAAAGTTTTCCCTATCATTGTATACCTAAAATGTACCAATAAACTTAATGAATAAATAAATATTACTTAAAATAAACAGTTACATCCTTATAATGTACTAAATTATGTGTGTGGTATCTCCAAATACCTTATTGTACTATGATTCCCTTACCTTCTTCTCCATGTGATATTGTGTGATGATACAATGCCTACATGATCAGATGAGGTGAGGTGAGTGATAAATTGTGGTGCAACCTTGGGCTACTGTTAACCTGACCATATACCAGAAAAAGTATTTTCTGCCTTAGGTGATCCCAGATTGCTGAGCCATAAGGATGTTTATGGTTAGATATTAGAGGCAGACAATGTTGGTGGTTGGTGATTCTTGATAGTTGAAAGTTCCTTTTATTGGGAAAGTCTTTTGGAAGAACTTTGTAATCAAAAGTTTTCTCCTTTTTAACTCATGAAAATGTAGCTGTGGATGTTGACATCCTTTGGTGACTGCCTGAGTAGCTTGAATGCTGCATTACATTAGCATCATGTTCCATAATTTTGTCCTTTAATACCTGTGTACTCTGTAGCAGTTCTGCAAATTTCAGTATTATCTCCATTATTGGTTCACTTCAGTTTACTCTTTGCTTTCCTCTTCCTCTGTAGTTAATTAAGCAATTTTCCAATTCCTTGTTAACACTTCTTGATGGCCTTCAACATGTCCTACTTCTTCATCAAACACATGAAATGAATTTTCAGTTCATTATTCTTTACCCACCTCTAGCATTGTGTTATAGTAGAAAACAGGGTAAGATGCAGAGTCTAAAGGGGCAACAGAGACATTGAATCAGAGACAGGGGAAGAGAGGGAGGGATACAGGGGGAAGGAGAGAGAGGCAGGGAGGGAAAGAGAGGGGAGAGAGAGAGAGAAGAGGAGAGAGAGAGAGAGAGAGAGAGAGAGAGAAGGAGAGAGGAAGAGAGAGAGAGAGAGAGAGAGAGAGAGAGAGAGAGAGAGAGAAAGAGAAGAAATTCATGAACTATGTAGACAGCCAGAGGTCTGAGGGGAATCACCCAGCACTAATGGGAACAAAGACCAAAAGGATGCACTCCCTCTTCACTGTTGGGTCTCACCAGTCCTGCATGTCTTGGCCCTGCTCTCTTTCCCAGTAACTCCCACTTGTGGCTGTAACAGAACATAGGGAGGTGGATACTGGAGTGGTGGACCCTGGACTTCTGCAGTCCTTACAAGGACTGTCTGGGAGATGCACACATACACCAGCAAAAGTACAGCCAGCACATAGAGACTCACCAACAGGTACAGAAGTCCCTACCGCCTCCAGCTACTCACTGCTGGGAGTGAGCAGGTTACTGAATTGCCCAAACAGGAAGTATGGGTCCCTAGTAACTCTCTTCTAAGATTAGACTCCTGGGTAAATATAAGAGAGGAGGCAGGGCACAGATGCAGTTGCATAACTGGGCAAGGACGCCAGCTGAAAATAAAAGGTTCACCTCTGGGCTACAGAGGGGTAGACGGCAGTCAGACCAGGACCATGGAGCTCAGCGTCCTGTTGCTCCTCGCCGTTCTCACGGGCCTCTTGATTCTCCTGTTCAGGGGCCACCCAAAGGACCATGGCCACCTCCCACCAGGCCCACGTCCTCTGCCCTTCCTGGGCAACCTTCTGCAGATGAACAGAAAAGGCCTGGTCAAATCTATCCTGCAGGTGAGACACAGATGGACGGGGTCCAGGGTGGGCTGGAAGAGCAGTCTCCTTTCTGGCTCATTGTGGGTGGAGATCAGTGTGTAAAGGATGTGATCCTGGTGGATGGTGGTCAGATTGCCACAGGTGTCCCACCCCTGATGGAAGTGTGTGGGGCACTGTTCTTGAGGAGGTTGAAAGGGTGTACAGAACTGTTGGTGTAAGCCACAAGTGTAGAATTTGACTCTCCTCTGCCCCATCATGAGTGTCTGCCGGGGGGAGGGTGGCAAGAGTTGGAAAGGTTTTGCTTCTGTCAGCAGAGAGAGCCAAGATTGGCCTGAGTCAGTTCAAGGACAAACAAGAGGAAAGAGGAGAAATGAAAGGCAGTAAGAAGGGCTTATTTGAGAGGGGAGAAGAAGGGCAAGTAAACAAGATCAAGATGTGATGTTTGTGTTCCCCATGATGAATACATTTATTATGTATCAGAAATGTGGCTGACTGTGGTTCTGCACAGCTGTAATTTCAGCACTTGGAAAGGTGAGGCAGGAGGATCCTCAGTTCCAGGCCAGCTATAACTAAATGATGAGTCCATGTCTCCAAAGTAAAATATTAATAAAAGTGGGGGGAAAAATCTTGATTTCTTCATTGATAGAATTTACTGGTAGAATAAAAAATTCTAGTAGTAAATAATAATCCAAAATTCTAATAGTAAACTAATATAATTTAATGAATAACAAATTCATCGATATAATAGAATCAGGCTCCATCATTGCATGGTAAATGGTCAATGTGAAATGTTTTATTATAGTTTAGAAATTCTTCATAACAGGCATACAATGCAAAATAAAATTGAGGTTTTGTCAATCATAAACAGAATTGAGCAATTACTAGGCTCTGTGCCACTGCTTTTCATGCACAATTTCAGGTTTCATGATCTAGTTTTATTGTGTCTTTATTTTCAGTAGTGGTGATAAAACTCTTGGCCTCTGCCCTGAGCCATATCCCTAACCCTTTTGCATTGGAGATAGGCTTTTGGTACATTGCCTTGGCTGGCCATGAACTTGCAAATTACCTGCCTCAGCCTTGATAGTGTCCAGGATTGCAGATCTTCACTACTACACCAGGTTAATCATCTACTTCACTATCAATAATTCATCAGCCCTGTCTGCAGTGGGAGAGCTGGAGCACAGAGAGCCACACCCACCTCTCTGCCACCTTCCTGCTGTGGAGACCATACTCTGGGCATCCTGGGCTTCTAGGCCTTTGCTATCAACAGTTTTTTTCCTGATCAACGATAAATTTATTGATAATGTTGTCTTTTTAGTTTTAGTTTTTGGTGGCGGGAATGGTGTTGACAGAATCCCAGGTGGTAGTGAACACCAGAGAAGAAATAGGAATTTTGTTTTAAGATATTAAGTTTATCGGTACATTTGAGTGCATCCATCATTGGACGTATGTGATGTATCTGTTCTTGATGTGTTTTGGGATAAAGGTGAGGAAACAGGCCCAGATGAATGGAAGAGCACAGCATGCACGGCAGAGAGCAAGCAGGCACTGTGCTGTGGTACAATATGAGGAACTGGATGGAGTGACAGGGAGCAGCAAGCAATATGGGCTGTGGGACAAAAACATACTTGTGTCACGATGGGAAGCTCTGGGGTGATGCCACTCCTTTTGTATTCTCTAATAAACTTCCAAATCCTTTGGGACTTAGAGGTTTATGGTTTTCTCCCCTGCAGGATGGTGACAATAAGGATATGTGACTCTTACGGTTGATGTGAGAAGTCAATGAGACATTGCCTTGAAGTGTGACTTTCACCCACTCTTTCATTTGTTCACCAATTCAGTGATAATTTACTGGACACTTTCTATGTGCTGGGGAGTATTCTAGGGATGGATGGTGTGGCATCTTGGGCAAGGCATATACAGTGACTATGCTTACGGACATCCCACTGGGAGAGAGAGAAACAAGAAATAAACAGAAACAGTGATGTTTGGTAGATAAAAACTATGGTTAAAATAAACCAGCATAAGATTTTACAAAGTAGTGGGAGCCATTTTAGACTGAGGGATCAGGGGAAGACTTTGTTCTGCTTTGCTTCTGAGCAGAGACCCTGAAATGTAGGTGGCCGGCACCAAAGAGAACCTGAAGAGGAGGAAGCCTGGGATCAGACTGAGCCAAGGGGGAGGTGGGGGAAGAATGCAGAGAAGTAATGGGGCCATGCCAGGTAAGACTTTGTGCACCACAGGGGAGACTTTGATATGTTTCTCAGTGACACGGGGGCATTGGAGGGCTTGGAGAGGTTAGGGAAATTGAGTAATTTATGTTTTTATAGGATTGCTGTGACTTAGAGGATGGTGAAACTTTTTTTCCTTTTTCTCTTGGCACATTTTACGTATACAATACATTTACATTCATCACTGGGATCTTGTACCTTTACAAGATATATCTTGGTTCTTATTTTTCCCCACCCCCTGCCCTCCCTTCACCCCCTCCATCCTTCCCTATTTACAGAGACTTTATTGGGCAGAAGACCAGTGAGAACGTTTTGCACAGATCAATGCAAGACATTTGAATAGTAGATTTCACGATTTTTATTATTTTTAGCCAAGTTGCTTTGAAGTGGGACAACATCCCACTAAGTACCCAACACACTCATGTCTTTCACATGTTGCATGTGAAATGACAATAGGGACAGTCCCCAGAAACCCTTTTCATCCCATTCTACTCACTACCCTTCTGCTATTCTGACACTACAATTTGGTTTTAAAATTTATATTAGTACATGTCTGCAGTACACAATTGCATTCATCATGGGGGGGCTGGTATATGTACATAGCAAATATTAAGTCTTTTTACATCCCTTTCCCTTCTCCTCCCTGTCCTTCCCTCTATTGATCCTCTTCCCATGGGTTAGTTTCATCTGTACTTGAACTTTATGTAAAAGGAACAAATACAAAACCAAACTTGTGTTTGTGTTGAGTTGCTTCCACTCGACACTATGTCCGTGAATTTTATCTAGAATTATTGATAAGAGCTCTAGTGGGCTGCTTTTCATTGTTCCATAATATGCCATTGTGTGAAAGTTTCACTATTTATTCCACATGTTGATGATTATCTTACTAAGAAGCTTTATTTAAATGTTCTTGATTTTTTTTTACTTTGGTGAAGTACACATTTTTGTTGAGCAAGTATTTAGTGATTAAGTTCCTGAGTATGCCTTTGTTTAGCTTCAGTAAATACAGATGGCCTTGTATATCGGTGGGTTTTACCTAAGCTTTGGATAGAAAATACATAAAAATTATGCTCATATTGAACATGTATTTTCTCGCCATCAATCCCTAAACAATACAGTACAACAACTTCTTGTATAGCATTCACTTTGTATTAGATAAAAGTGATCTAGAAATAGTTTGAAGTGTACAGAAGGAAGGACATATATTATGTGCAAATACTACCAAGGATTTTGGTATCCAGAGGAGCCCTGAGATCAACTCCTAACAGATGCCAATTGGTGACTCTCTTGTCCAACCATTTGTCAAGAGGCTGTACTGATCAGATTTTTTAAATTTCATTATCAGAGCTAGAGGGCCATAACTTTTCCTTCCCCTCTATCAAGAGGGTGAATCAGAATCAGAGTTGTTCTCCCAGGAAATTATTTAGGATCAGGGTTCAGGTAGAAGTTAAGACACAAGGATTCTTTTGGTTGAGATACCAGGGTGATGTGCCTTGACTCAAGGATGAGGGTAATATGAGATTAGCAAGAGTCAACCACTTGTACTTCTTAGAGCCCCAAGCACAAGAGGCAGAGCCTGGTGGTGGGGGGGGGTGTCACATGTTAACCCTTTAATTGCTGGGTCTTGGGAGGGGAGCAAGGCAGCTGCGGAACAACCAAAGTTCCTCAGGGTGGCATCTAATTACCAATGTGTATTTAAGAATTTTAATTGTTTAGTAACTGGTGTGAATACTGATTAATACCGGCCCTGGCTTGGGTATGCTTGGCAGCTCCGAGAGAAATATGGAGACGTCTTCACCATGTACCTGGGGCCGAGGCCTGTGGTCATGTTGTGTGGAACAGATACCATACGGGAGGCCCTGGTGGACCAAGGCGAGACTTTTGCTGGCCGGGGAACAATTGCTGTCCTGGATGCTGTCTTCCAGGAAAATGGTAAGGACCCCAAAGGCTCTGGAATGGAGTGGGATGGATGATGGAACATGAAGAAATTGAGTGAGAGAAGGTAAAGGAAAATGGTGGAAAGCGATTCCACCTCCTTGGTCTTACCTCACATCCCTTGCCTCCCCCACAACTACTAGATGTGAACTTTTCTGATGTGGCACGCTGGAAGGTCCTTCGGAGATTCACTTTGGCCACCTTGAGGGACTTTGGGATGGGAAAGCGGAGCGTGGAGGAGCGGATTCAGGAGGAGGCGCAGTGTCTGGTGCAGGAGCTGCGGAAATCCAAGGGTGAGTCTTGAAGGGTGGGGTGGGTAGAAAAGAAAAACATACAAAGAGAGGGGCAGGGTCACAGAAATAGAAACCCCAAGAGATAAACATGGACATAAGAGCACAGAAATAGTGACAGACAGACAGGAACAGAAAGAGATGGAATAGAAATGAACAGAGACCAGCAGCAGAACAACACAGGTAGCCAGAGAAGGAACTGGGAGGTTTACAGTGTCCAAGAATAACTCAGAGAAAGAAGCTGAGTGACTGCCTGCTGTTCATTTGGGTCCAGGGCAATCAATGTGTGGGTTAACTATATGCATCAAAAGAAAATACAAGGGCTGGGTCTTTAGCTGAGTGGTTCTGGCACCTGCGCCTTCCCAAGTTTGATCCCCAGCAAAAAAAAAAAAAAAAAAAAAAAAAAAAAAAAAGGACAAGCCTGGTGTAAAAAGAGGAACAGCACATGTGAAACAGTGTACTGTTTTCCTTCCCTCAGTGAAGTGCTGATGAGCAGGCAGTGAGGAAAGAGGCAGGTGGGCGCTCTGCTCTTGGGATGGATTTTCAGTCCCTTCTGGATCCTCTGAGAAAGGGATGTAGAGGTGACAGCGCTGCTTGTTAGCACCTCCTTGGTCGGCATCCTTCCATTCATGCCAGGTCTCATAGTGTGTGCAGAGTTTGAAGGTGGGGAGAAGCAGTGGGGACAGAGAGACAGAAAAGAAAGAGGGAGGAGGAGTGACATGGAGACAGATATGAGGAAAGAGAAGGGATGGACCTGGAGGGAGCAAAAGGAAGAAAAGAGGAGACAAGAATGGAAGAGACCCAGAGTGGCAGAAAAAAATAAAGGCAGAGAGAAAGTGAGAGAAAATTAGACAGAGAAGTCTCAGGAAAGTGTCTACAAAGGAATGAGAATAGACAGACAGTTGAGACCCAGAGAGAGAGAGAGAGAGAGAGAGAGAGAGATTGAGATCAAGACCTACCTGATGTTCTTGGGCTCAGAGACTCCCTCCTTCTCACCCAAGCCCTGGAGAAGGATGAAGAGGTGAAAGGGAAGTGACGGGGAATGAAGTAGTGATCAGAGCTTTTAAATTTGCACAAGGAATTGTTTGGACACTGCTGTACCTCTCTATTCTTGGGCTTAACTTTGTTCCCTTACAGAGTGGGAGTTGACCCTGGGTTGAGATGCATTGTAGGGACCAACTGCCCTGGCTGTCTCTGGGCTGCCTGGTCTGATCTTGGCCCCAGTGATGAGTAACTGTGTTACCTTGGTCAAATCCTTTAACCATTAACCAATCATCCATCTATAAAGTGGGGGTAATAATAGAACGGCATCTTCCTTACAGTGTTATAGAGGTAATTAAGTTCAAATAGCACATGGAATGTGGAGAATACAGCCTGGCACATTACACATGCCACTGAATGTCACTGTTTATCGCTCTTCTTATCTTTTATTACTGAGTAGTATCAGTCACACAGAGACAGGACAGCAGCCAAATGCTCCCCAGGCTCTTGAGTCTGTGTCCTGTGAACTGCTGTCTTTCCCCCCAGGAGGCCTTGTGGATCCCCTGTTCCTGTTCCAGTCTGTCACTGCCAACATCATCTGCTCCATTGTCTTTGGAAAACGCTTTGACTACAAAGATCGCCAGTTCCTGAGGCTACTGAATCTGTTCTATGAGATCTTTGAACTCCTCAGCTGCCTTTCCAGCCAGGTCAGGGGAGTGAGCAGGAGGGTTGGGCTGAGGGCAGCATCCAGGACAGCTGGGAATGATGTCCTGCATGAGGGGGCCCGGAAATATACTTAGGGCTGGAAGAAGAGTGGAGACAGCACAGAGTGACAGGAACACTGAGAACTGAAGTGAGGGATAGGTGGTGAACAGGGATCAAGAAGATGAGAAAAAGAAAGGGAAGCGAAACGGGTGCAGAAATAAAGTAGGACAGACAAAGAAAATGAAGGCTTGGGGAGGAGAGAAGGGAGAAGACAGAAAGAGAAAGAAAGGATAGTGGTAGATTCTGGGACAGAAAAGAGTGTGTGTGTGTGTGTGTGTGTGTGTGTGTGTGTGTGGTCGGCAATGGAGGAGCAGAAGGGAGGAAGACTTAGAGGACATAAGGAGGGATAGAGATTTCCCACCCAGGTCTAGGGGTCAGGAGAGCTTCCCAGCTCTCTTTCTGCTAACTGAGCCTCCAGTGGGTCTCACTGCCTGTCTCTCTTGCAGTTGTTTCAGCTCTACTCCAGCATCCTGAAACACTTTCCTGGACCACACAGGGAAATTTACAGAAAGTTCCAGGAAATCATCACCTTCATTGGCCACAGTGTGGAGAAACACCGTGAAACCCTGGACCCCAACGCCCCCAGAGACTTCATTGATACCTTCCTGCTCCGCATGGAGAAAGTGAGATCTGGGAGAGGTGATGGGATGGGAGGGGAGGAGGGGGGTGTGAGCAGCAGAGAAGGAAGGAGGTAGGAGAGGAGAAGAGGGGAAGGAAGAACAGATGTTGGGGAGGAGAGAATAAGAGCAGGAAAGGGAAGAGAAGCAGATGCAATAAGAAGATGAAGTGGAAGGAAAGAGATGGTAAGAAGGAGGAACTGAAATGGAGAGAGAAACAGAGAATAGGCAAGGGCTGGTAGAGAAAGTCAGGGCAAAAGACCAAAATATAGTCAAAGACCCCAGAGGCAGAAAGAAAATTGGGAGACCAAAAGTGAGAAGCCAAAGAGATGAAAAGATTTGGAAACAGAGCCAAATGGAATAAAGGAAAGCAGAGAGAGAGAGAGAGAGAGAGAGAGAGAGAGAGAGAGAGAGAGAGAGAGAGAGTTCAAGTACAGACATGTGTAAAGCAACCATATGATCTCAGTCTGAGAAAAAGAGGGAGAATGCTCAGAAGGACAGGTGACCCTTACTGCAACAAGGTTTTGATCTTACAGACCCTCTCTCATGTTCTTGCTCTTGACTTAGGAGAAGTCTGACCAAAACACTGAGTTCCACCACAACAACCTCATCATGACCTTGGTTTCACTGTTCTTTGCTGGCACAGAGACCACCAGCACAACTCTCCGCTATGGCTTCCTCTTTCTGCTCAAATACCCCAATATCACAGGTGGGCAAGGGACAGCCAGTTGGGAAGGTATTTTCACACCCATTTGGGCTGCAGAGTTGGGATGCAGGGAGCTTATAGACAAGTGATAACACTGGCCACTTACACCAGGAACTCTACCATATTTGGGCTAGTTCCTAACTAAGCCAGTCCTGGTTGACCTGTTTTTCCACTGCTTTCTCCTATCACAGTTAAAAAATGAATGATTCATTTGCCTGTTCATCTGTTTATTAATTCACCTGTACACTTACTGATCTTTTTGTGTATGATTCATCTATGAACACATAATTTCATTCATTTATTTCAACTAATTGATTCATGAGCTGATCCTCTGAACACTGATAGTTGTATGAACTAGTTATCATGGATTCAATGGCTCACTAAATTATTGTTCATTGGCTCATTTAATTATGCATCTATCCTTCTATCTATTGGTAAACTTGGTGTTTTCCTCCTTAATCAGGAGTCTTCCAGTAGATCCTTCATTCACTCATCACTCCTTCATTTATTCAGTTAATAACTCATTTATTCATGCCTGATTTATTAATCATTCAAGCTTTGCATCCATTCATTTATTTACTCATACTTCACTACTTTATTCATTCATACATTCCTCTATAAGTCTGGCATTTATATGATTATCAATTAGTGGGGTCTATTGACCTGTTTAGGAAACATTTATTACTATGTTTCTTGATCCATGTATGATTGATACATTGAGCACATACATCCACACACTGGGTTGCTCATCTCATTCATTCATCAATCTTTTCATTTAATTAGCCATTGATTGGCTGATTGATTGATCGGTTCATGTCATCATCCAGTTTTTCATGGAATAATTTATTGATTTATTCCTCTGTTATATTTTTTAGGACCTAGCAGTGACCCATTTGCATGCATAAAAGTATTCATTCATTTCTTTTTCAGTTTAGAGGAGAAGTTTAAAGTTCTTAATATAAAATTCCATGAAAAATTGTGGGGTGTGTCTGTGCCTGTGTATGTGCTTGTAGCTGTGGATGTGGGGAGATAACTTATAATATTCATTGAATTTTGAAGGGCAAGCATTCTCTTTGATTTTTCCATTTTTCCCTCAGCTGAACCTGATTTCTTTGAGGGTATGAATGTTATAAACCCTTTCTATAGAGTTTCCCTGGCTCGTTGGTCCACAGAAAACCATGTTATTGCTGAGGAGCCTTTGTGATGTGGGGTTCATTGTCCCCTTGTCTGTGCAGCAAGGGTCCACGAGGAAATTGAACAGGTGATTGGCTCACACCGCCCACCAGCTTTGGATGACCGAACCAAGATGCCATACACCGAGGCAGTCCTCTGTGAGATTCAGAGATTTGCAGACCTCTCACCTATTGGTGTGCCCCACGTGGTCACCAAAGACGCTCACTTCCGAGGGTTCATCATCCCCAAGGTGAGCCTAACTGGGCTCCCACGTCTTTGTGTCAGCCACTTTGGTTTTCTAAACCCCCATCTTAACCTCTTGTTGGTTTCTCAACAGGGAAACCTTGTTTCATTATTGCTTTGTTTGTTTATGGTTTTGCTTGTGGAGGCCAGGCAATAGCAATACCTTTTGACCTTGTAACTTTTCTCAGAACACTGAAATATACCCAATTCTGACCACTGCTCTCCATGACCCACGTCACTTTGAAAACCCATACATCTTCAAACCTGATCACTTTCTGGATGCCAAGGGGGCAGTGAAGAAGACTGAAGCTTTTATGCCCTTCTCCATAGGTAAGTTGACCCGTTACCTATCTCCCAGACACTAGAGGGTGGTTCCCACTCTCTTCTTGAGAAAAAAAAATGGTAAGCACTTTCTTATTGAGCACTTTAGTGTATTCTACTTGCTTTAATCCAACTACTCTAGTCCATCTTCACTATAACCCTTGAGGAGCGTTGAGTGTGATATTATCTCCTAAAGGCAAATGTTTGCAAGCAGGACCTTGGCAAGTACACAACTTCGAAATCCACTCCACATAGTGGTCTACACCTATAATCTCAGCTACTTGAGATGCTGAGACAGAAGGATTACAAGTCTAAGACAAGCCTGGTGAACTTAATAAGACCCTGTCTCTAAACAAATTGAAAAATGGATAGTGATGTTGCTTAGTGGTAGAATACTTGCCTAACATTTACAGTTCCCTGAATTAAGTCCTCAGTACTGAACAAAAATTTAAATCAGAGGAAACTCATTTTAATTTTTAATTCACTAAGTTTATTGGTACATTTTAGGTTTACAATATGATGACATTCACCATTGGGAATTTGTGCCTTTACCATATATGTCTTGGATCTTATTTTTTCCTCGTTCCTTTACCCTTCCTTCAACTCCCCCAACTCTCCCTATTTCCAAGCACTTTATTTCAGTTTTTTCCTTTTCTCATATTTATTTCTTTCCCTTCTTTCCATTCCCCTACCCTTCTCACTTCCCCTTCCTCTCCCCTTTGGACCTTTTCTCCCTATTTCACATTATCTATTATATATTTTGATCATCACTTATACTTTCAATTTTTAAAACCAGAGAAACTATTCAAAATTGTGTGTCCTATTTATTTCAGTTAAGACTATGGCCTCAATGTTCATCCATTTAGCTAAAAATGTCTCCAGTTTCTCATTCTTTATGACTGAGTAGTACTCCATTTTATAAGAAAAAAAAACCTATCTTCTTTATCCAGTCTCCACTTGATGGGTAATTGACTGTTTCCAAGTTTTAGCTATCACAAACTGTGCTGCTATAAACATGGATGCATATATAAAGCTGTGATAAGATTCTTTTAATTCTTTTTGGAAGATACACAAAAGGGGAATTATTTAGTCACATGAGACCTCTAATCCTAGGTTTTTGAGGTATTTCAATACTGATTTCCATAGTAGTTACACCAGTCTGCACTCCTACCAACAAAGGAGAAGTGTTGCTTTTTCCCTATGCCCTGCCAGCATTTGTTATTGGTTGATTTCTTGATAGCAGCCATTCTTTCTGGAGTGAGATGGAACTGTTTCATTTTCATCTGCATCTCTTGTATGACCAATGATGTTGAACATTTTTTCATGTATATTTGCTGTTTTTATTTCTTTGTCTGAGAAATGTCTTTTCTTTACAGATGTCCATTTTTTTCAGTTTTAATTGAGTTTATTGGTACATTTTAGGAATACAGTACAGTTACATTCATTGTTGGGATCTTGTACCTTTACATGACAAGTCTTGGTTCTCATTTTTTCCCCTTGTTCCTTCCCTCCCTTCACCCCCTCCTCCCCTCCCCATCTACAATCACTTTATTTGCATCTTTTCATTATCTCACATTTTTTTCTTTTCCCTTTTTACCCTTCCCCTACCCGTCCCACCTTCCCTACACCTTTAGCTCCTTTCCTCCCATTTCTCAATGTCAGATGTCCATTTTTGAATAGGGTCTTTAAATTTGGGGAGTCTTATTTTTTTAAAGTTCTTTTTATATTCTAGATAATAGTCCTTTGAGCAACGGCTGATAAATTTTTTTTTCCACATTGTATGTTGTCTCTTAGCTCTGTTGGTAATTTCTCTTGTAGTATCCAAGCTTTTTAATAAGATGAGATCTCAGTTGTTGACTATTTGTCCTAGTTCCCATGCTACTGATATTTTGTTCATAAAGTCTTTTCCTAGGGCAATGTCTTTAAGAGTTCTACCTAACCTATCTTCCAGCAATTTTAGTATTTCTGTGATAATAGTTAGATCTTTGATCCACTGAGATTTAAGTTTAATGCATGGTGAAAGAGATGGATCTAGTTTTAATCTTTGGCAGGTTGAAATCCAGTTTTTCCTGCAGCATTTATTAAAGAGTCTATCTTTCCTCCAGTGAGGGTGGTTGGCTCCATTGTCAAAGATGAGGTAGCTGAGTATGTCTGCAGTTATTTCTGCATCTTCTAATCTGTTCCAATGATCCTTGGGTCCATTTCTTTGCCAGTACCATACTGTTTTTTAATCACAGTGGCTTTGTAGTAGTTTCAAGTTGGGGACTGTCATACCCCCTGTTATGTTTTCATTGAATAAATTATTATGTTATTGTAGATCTCTTCTGGTTCAAAGTGAATTTTTGAATTGTTTTATCAAGTTCTGTGAAATATGCTGTAAGAATTTCAATCAGGACTGCATTGAATCTATATAGTGTTTTTGGAACCATTGCCATTTTCACTATATTGGTTCTTCCTACCCAGCAATAAGGGAGGTCTTTACATTCTTATATCCTCTTTAATCTCTTTTTTCAGAACGTTGTAATTCTCAAGGTAGAGGTCTTGTACTTTCTTCATTAGATTGATTCCTAGACATTTCATATTTTGGAATGCTATTGTGAAAGGAATTGTTTCACCAATTTCTCTCTCCTTGAGTCTGCTATTTGTAATTGATAAGGCTATTGATTTTTGTGTTGATGTTGTATACAGCTACTCTACTGAATTTGTCATTTTTGTATAGAACTCTTTTGGCAGAGGTTTTTGGGTCTTCTATGTAGAGTATCATGTTGTCAGCAAATAATGACAGTTTAACTTCTTCCTTTCCTATCTCTATTCCTTTTATTTCTTTATCTTATCTAATTTCTGTGGCTAATGTTTCCAGAACTTTATTGAGTAAGAGTGGTGATAGTGAGTATTCATGTCTTGTTACTGATTTTAGAGTGAAAAGTTTTAGTTTTTGACAATGTAGTATGATGTTGGCTGTTGGTTTTTCATAGATAGCCTTCATCAGGTTGAAATAAAGGCCATGTATCCCAATTTTCTGTAGGGTTTTAATCATGAATTAGTGGTAGGTTTTCTCAAGCGCTTTTTCTGCATCTAATTTAGTGTCGTTTTTACATTCTTTTGCCTTTTCATTGACTCCTATCAGTCTTCTGTTATTCTTCTTTGCATCATCTAGCAGTTGATGGATCCATTTCTCATGGATCCTTACTATTTTTAAGAAATCTCTCTTTTCATAGTTACTAATCCCAATACTAATTTCTATATCTGATATCTGTCTTAATATTGTCTCCTTCTACTGCAAATACCTTCAGTGGAGTTTTAAATCTGGATATATTTGAATCTGTTTCATGGATTCCGTATTTTTCCTATGCTGGACATTCATAGCTTCCACCATGGTCCTGAGTGTATCTATATTTTTATCTGTTTCTCTTTTATAGTCTGTATTTCAGTCTTGCATTTTGCTTTCTATCTCTGTAGCTATCTGTGCAATTATTTCTGTTTTCATTTTTTTGATATTCTCATTCATATGTTTTATTTCTTCTGTGTTATCAGTTTAGGGTGCCCAGGCGGATGATTTTTCAACCTTGTTTCCCCTAGAATTTGCCTTTGGTGTGCTGGAACTCTGGGTTTTCTACCTCTTCATGTGTCTTCTCATTTCTATTTTTTGTTGTTGATATTTTTGGTTTAATTCCTCGGTTGATACTTCTATATATTGCTCATTGTGAGTATCCAAATTGGTAGCATTTAGAACACTTATGGAACGATTACTTCTCAGAGGTGACTTCCAGGTATAGACGTTCTTTATGTTTTGAGTCTCTAATGACTCTTAGGCAATCGCCATTTCAGTATATCACAAAAGAGAACTGACTAGAACAATTGTGATACCTTGGTTCAAGTAATACAGTCAGCATGAGCAACAGCATCACAGTTTAGAAAGTGACACATTATGGTAGTTAGAAATCTGACGCTTTTTACCACATGAACTAGATCAAAATCAGGGACAATCCAAAAATATGTTTGTTGTAAATTAGTCCTTAAATATAGCAAATTTACCGTTTAGGATGAGGACCTAGAAGGAGTTGGGGAGGGAGGAATAGAGAAATACCATGAGAGGGTGAGGTCAGAGGACACAAGAAGTTCACACAAACTTTGGGAAATTGGTGAAGACAAGAAGAAAAGATAGAGTGAAGGAAAAAGACAACAACAAAATTAACAGCAACATGAAAGCTAGAAACTGCATTCACTTTCCTATAAAAACAAGGACAATTGAAAGAAGAAAGCAAAAAATCCAAAATAGACTGGGGATTCAGCTCAGTGGTTCAGTGGCCTGCCTTGCAAGCACAAGGACCCAGGTTCAATCCCCGGTACTAGACCAAGTTGAGCTCCCTGACCTCCTGGCAGATTGAACCCTGCCACTGCCCTTCTCCTGAAGCAAGTCCTAGTTCTGGTGGGAGGTGCTGATCCTACTAACTTACCAGCCACTGTGGTCTTGTGCTCCTCTATTGCAGAGACTTTCTTCCCCTTCCCATTTGGCTTTAATTTTAATCAAGCAGCCTTGGGGAGCCCCTCTCTCTGCTGTTCACCACTGCTGTATCTTCTGGAACTTATTTCAATGGCCTTTATGGCCCCTGGTAGATCTGCAGTGTAGATACAAATCCCTGCACACTCTTCAGTTTCCCAGGGCAGCTGGTCTTCCTAGAAGGTTCTGGTTTGGCCAGGGCAGTCCTGGGCCCGCCTGTGACAAACTCATTTTTTAAAAAACCAAACTAAACCAGAACAAAACAAAACAAAGCAAAGCATGTGTGTCACTCAAGCTACTAAGGCAAAGTACAAACAAAGAGCACAAGAAGAGATGAATAGAAGACAAGAGGATGAATCTCTTACACATGGAAAGGGATCCAAGAGAACAAAGACAAAGGGAGAGGGGAAGGGGAAGAGGAAATAAGTATAATAAAAATATGTCATTGCAGGAACCTAAAAGCCTTAATGAATGTAAATATTATGGCTATAAAAATGAGATATGGTTAATAACAAGAATGAAAATGCAGAAGGAGGAGGGATGCAGGTGGATGTGAAGAGGAAAGGAATGAAAAAAATAGAACCAAGCTACATTGTGTATATGAACCCAGTCCTCAAGATGATAGTATACTGCATGTACTGTGAATATGTACTAATTTCTAATAGTAGAACAAAACAAAATAAGAATAGTAGCAAGCAAACCTAACCTATTAGCATTAATCTGAAGCCAATACTCTACTGGATGCTAAAAAGACTGCATTGAGCAAATTACACAATGTCTGATGTAATTAAATGAGTTAATGCCCACCTTACACTTACAATTGCATGGAACAAAGTAAATTCTTACAAGGGTAAGTACTATTTTTGGTCACAATAGGAGCTCTAAAAGTGGCTTTGGGAGCAACAAAATAGGAAATACTAATTTTGGTGGGTCAATGAAGAAACATTTATGTAAGAAACTGGCTTCTAGGCTGAAACCTCATGTGTGAGTATTGTTCAGTCTCTGGGAAGAGCATTCGAGGCAGAGGTAACCACAGGGCCAGGAGACTGAAGGTGCAGTCTTCATGGTGTATTTGAGAAAGTAAAAAGCTCTGGCATGTAGCTTATGAAAGGAGAAAGGTGAAGGGCTGGACAGGGTGCAGAAGGGTGGAGGCAGGGTCTCGGATATACCCTAGAGCACTGAGGAGCTGTGGAAAGTTTTGACACATTCATTTATCCAGGCTTGCCTTCTGTACTTTGGCTTGTTCTGTTTTATGTTTTAACTGAGGAAGAAATTCATGTTTATTTGTGCCACCATCAGGGCCACAATGTGTTCAACATTATTTAACTGGAAATCTTTCCAGGTAAATTTAAGTTCAACAGTAGGCAATAAAATACTGAAACCATAATAGAGCTGTAAACCAGTTTATTTCTCAGTCTCTTCTTGCATTAACCTTACTTCCTTCAAGTTATATGAGCAAATATTGCTGTCTGAGGACACTTTTAACATTTCTCCACAGCATACTGATAAAGAAAGAGGCTATACATACAGCTATAAACACGTTTATTTCATGGTACATCAGACAAGAAATAGCTCTTAATTTTTTATTTCTTGGAATTTAACTTCATGTACATTTTTAAAGTATTCATTCAATTTCAAAGATTATATCATTGGAAAAAACTATGAATCAAATGTGTTATCTGACTAAATAAAATAAGAAATAATGACTTTCTTGCACATGGATTAAATTTCAATGTCCCTCAACTGTGCCAAATTTAGAAGCCTGACCATGATCAAATGTAAACTTAATATCTGAATCACATAAAGTCAAACAAACCAGAGAATCTCTTTAGTTATCTTTCCTCCAACTTTAGAATACAAACTTTTTTGGTCTACATCTTCATGGTAAGGTTTTATGTGTATTTTTAAAAGCTTACTTGGTTTTCAGTTTTCTGTTAATATTCATGCTTATACTCCTTAATCTTCGGAGGTAGATATTGTCTTCTTTACATTTTAACTTATATCCTTATTTATGGAAATAAAAACTTTCTGTTCTGGTCACATTCGGCATTGCCTTTTGCTCTGTGGCGGGGTACTGTGGATCGAAAGCATTGCCTTTTGTATTCCAAGAATTAATATGTTATTTGAAAATCAACCAATAACAAATACTGGCAAAGCTGTGTGGAAAAAGTAACCCTTCTACCAGGGATTTAGCTCAGTGGTTCTGCTCCCTGCCTTGCAAGCACACGGACCCAAGTTCAATCCCCGGTACCAAAAAAAAGAAAAGAAAAAGTAACCCTTCTCTACTGTTGGTATGAGTGTAGACTGGTGCAACCACTGTGAATATCAATATGGAGATACCTCACAGAACTAGGACTAGGAGTCCCATTTGACACAGCTATTTCTCTGCTGGCAATCTTCCCAAAAGAATTAAAAGAATCATATCACAGTGATATATGTGCACCTATGTTCATAGTGGCCCAGTTTGTAATAGCTAAAACTTGGAAACAGCACATTTGCCTATCAACTGGAGACTGGATAAAGAAGATGTGAGTTTTTCTTTTATAAAGCGGAGCACTACTCAGCCATAAAGAATGAAAATCTAGAGACATTTATAGCTAAATGGGTGAAGACTGAGGCCATACTCTTAAGTGAAATAAATAGGACACACATGTGTAAATATAGAATAGTTTCTCTGGTGTGAGAAACTGAAAGTACAAATAAGAATCAAAATGTATAACAGGTAATGTGAAATAGGAACAAAAGGTCTAAAGAGGTGGGGAAAACGGCAGGGGTAGTGAAAAAGAAAGAAAAATGTGAGAAAAGGAAAAATGGGTAACAACACTATCCCCTGATACTTCCATGGAACTAAGTTGCGATATTCGAACAATTTGAAATTCACATGAGATGCCCAGACACCCACCCTTGGCTTGGGTTTCTCAGGGTCATCAGTTTGCAGACGAAGAAGCACTGCCATATAGGGAGAGGCTCTCTGAGTATTTGCCCAAGTGTTCCATTTGGTCTCATTCTACTCCAAGCCTAAGATTTATAAACTAGTAGTGATTCCTTACCACTGAGAATCCTGTGGGGCCACAGATCACACCTCGTGTGTATCAGTCTCATTTATCATTTTCTGTCCAATTTGTGTGTATGTGTGTGTATGCTTGAAGTTTTTGCTGACAGGCTCAGGCCAGAAAAGAATTTCAGGTGGAGAGAAAGGGGAGGAACAGAAGGAGAGAGGGAGAGAGGGAGGGAGAGATAGACAGTTAGACAGAGACAAGTGGCAACAGAGACAGAGAGAGAGAGAGAGATGGACAGAGAGAGGCATATAGTTGCAGAAACACCCCACCACCAGAAAAAACACAAAATAGTTACTGCAGTATAGATTCTTTAACTATAAGCCAGGTGTTCATCTCGGTTCTTTTTAATAGTAACTCAGTCCTCACAGTAGCCCTATGAGATTGATAATATTATCCTCATATGAGAAATGAAGAACACCAAAAATGTTAAGTCATAAATATGCATAGACTTTTGTACTTACACATACACACAAATGAGTCCTTATCTCCTATGGGGCCACTGAACCCTTTGGAAATCTAACAAAAATACAAGCTACTGTATCTCCTAGAGAAGTGAACAGGGAATGTCCACCCAAAGATCTGTACCCCGTATGAGAAGGATTGGGAGCCTAGTCCAAGTCCACCCAAAATTGCACACTGAAGGTTGTGTCTGTGCAATTGCCACAGGTTTCTGGGCTCAGGGATGTGCAGGGCAAAGAACATCACGCTGGCCTATATCTGTGATTGTCTTTGTCCGCAGGGAAGCGTATTTGCCTTGGAGAAGGTATCGCCCGTGCTGAATTGTTCCTCTTCTTCACCACCATCCTTCAGAACTTCTCCATTTCCAGCCCAGTGGCTCCTGAGGACATTGACTTCACACCCCAAGACATTGGCTTGAGCAAAGTACCCCCAAAATACCAGGTTCGGTTTGTGCCCCGCATGGAAGAATGAGAAAAGAGGAAGAAAGGATTTCAGGGTCATTAAGCACCTTAACTCTAAAGAATGGCCCTCACTTCCTGCCTCTGCGAATCCAGTTCTGAATCAGCATCCTTCCCCCTACCTGATTGCTACTCCATGCAAAAGTAATTGTTGTGATCTTCATTCCATACTGCTGAGGTTCTTCCAAAGCTCTGTGCTGCGTTTCTTTTCTGTGTGAATAAAGTTACATAAGTTAGAGCTGAATCAACAATAATTAAGTCCCATATTTTGTGTCTATTAAGGAGGTGGGAGTTAAAAGGGGAAAAAAAAGAGATTGAAGGACCTCTGGAGTTCTGCCTCCCAAGCTACAGCTCACGCTGAGGCGTTTCTCCCTTGTCCGGAACAAGCACAATCTGCATTTGTCAACTCTCTCTGCTCCATGTTCTGTTCTAAAGGGTTCTGTGTGGGAGTGCCCATCTCCATAGCTCCAGATGATGGGTGCAGAGGTCATACCCATTTTACAGATGAATAACAGAGGCCAGGCAATGGCATTAGCTGCCTGAAGTCACAATGTTAGTGAGTGGAGGAGCAGATTCATACTGTGGCTGCAAAGCTCAAACTCTTCACTATGGCAGGATCGAATGAAGATCAAATTCACATAACATAAAAAGGAGCATTCTAAAGTGTACATTTCAGCGCTATGTAGTTCATTTACATGGTTTTACCTATGTAAGTATATAGTTTCAGATATATTTGTTACTTTCCCAAAAAACCCTGTAGTCTTTAAGCAGCTACTGCCTGTTCCCCTTGCACCAGCACTCAAAAATAAAAATCTGATTTCTGTCTCAATGGATTTATCTCCTGGTCTTCTCGATGTTTCATATAATGGAAATTATACAAAATGTGATGTTTTGCTTTTCTTTTTTTAACTTTGCATTACATTTTGGAAGCTGTATGATCCTGAAGACAACAGTCACATGCTGCCTTTGGCCTCCCTCATCCTCCTCCTTAGCTGCTTTTTCTCTCTGTGAAAGGGCACCCTCAACCCCTATCTCTTGAAATGTGTGACTCTATATTGGCACCATGGATTCCATCCTATTTTTCTTTAAATCCCCTGAGTAGCAAAGAAAGCCACAAAGCCTGATCTCTGCTGGTAAGACAGAGATCTCTGCCATGCTGTGTGCCATCCATCAGTTGTCAGGTCCCTGGGAAATTTTCAGGAAAATATTTGTGAGAGCATCTCTTACACCTCCATTCCAGCTCCCTGAGGGTCAAAATGTTGTCTTCTTCACTGTTCAACTTTTAGCACCTGCAGCAGGGTGTGGCACATGACAGCTGTTGAAAACATTTGCTGAAGAATGAATGAATCCATGAAGGATGGGCTAAATCACCTACCTCTTACTTTCCCCCTTCAAATGAAGATAGATTTCTTTTGTACTATGTCACCTTCTCTATATCTCACTTTCTTTGAAATCAGAAAAAAAATTCCCATCCTGTAATGGCCCAGTGGTTCCAGGTATGCCTTCCAGTGACGGTTGATCTCTCACACTGCGTGACGTTTGCTCTTAGAGCTACCCTCACTTTGTGACTGGCCTCCACATATCCTGCCCATTGCCACTACTACGCTTCCTCAAGAAAAATGTTGTACATTTCATGGTTTTTCCCTTGAAGGCATCTCTAGCTGGCCAGTGGTGCAGTGGGGGCTGGCTTTCAGATTCACCCTGAGATGCTGAAAACTGAGCTTCTGCAAGGTCCGAAAACTTTGGGCACCCTGTATTGTCTGGAAACTTTTACTAGGATTTCTGCTAAGATAGACTTCTTGCACACACCCCTCCAACAACAAAGGAGGACAATTACAAAATCAACAGCCTGCCTTTCAAGGGAGAAAGAAGTGTGGATGGCAGGAAGAGCAAGTACCTTGGTGCTGTTAGACTTTATCTTCTTTTTCTTTCGGATCGGCCTCTTGCTATTCTGGATCTGTAGCTGCCTCACCTCCCATTGCAACCTTCCACGTGGACCCTGGCCTCTATCTTTCCTGGGAAATATTGTGAAATAGACTTCAAGTGTGTTCTCAACTGCTTCCAAGAGTTTCAATGGGGAGGAAAAGGGATGGGTGGTGGGCAAGAGGGAAGTAGGTAGCAATGCAGTTTCAGGTTCTAATTTGGAGTTGGACTCTCTAGATTAAGTCTGAGAATTCTATTCTTTCAGCTACCAATGGCCAATCCACTCTCTTCCAGAGACTTCTAATTCCTGTAGAATGTAAGGAGAGAGCAGAGACTGAAGTAGTACTTTTTATTGATTTGGGGGTATGGATTTTGTTCTAGGGGTAGGAAAAGGAGAGTTCTGGGAAATTGAATGTGGATTGTTAGTGCAATGAAGAAAATTCAAGGCTGGGAAGGCTTTGATAGCACCAAGAACACTAGAGAATGGGAATGGATGTGGGCCTCAAATGAAGTCACAAAAGTAGTCTCTGAATGTGTGGGAGCCACAGTCCACAGAGCTCAGGGTCCCTTGGAAGATATGATCCAGGTGTGACACTGGACAACCCTTCTCATGGGTGAGATAGTGAGATGTGGGCCGTGTCTCCAGAACTGCAGGAAAAATGTGGTGATATTTTTTCAATCTGCCTCTTGTCTGAGGTTGCTGTTGTCCTGTGTTGATATGAGGTGATCAGGGAAGCCCTACCTGGCCAAGGGCTCATTAAGATCACTGACCACATCTCCCAGGGAACTGGTGAGTGAAAGATAAGTAGGAATTGGAGAGGTGGAGGGAACATCACATGAGTCCTCCCAGAGCTCATTCTATGTCTCACCGATCAGGTGTGACCTTTTCCAGTGGAAAGCATTGGAAAGTCCTCCAGGGATTCTGTCTGAGCACCATGAAGGACTTTGGGATGGGGAAGCAGAGCACTGAGGAGTGACTCTAAGGGGAGGCTGAATGTTTGTTGGAGGAGCTGGGGAAATCTCAGGGTGAGCCTAGAGTTTGGGCAGAGTGACCACAAGATGGAGGCATAGAGAGTGAGAGTATGATTGATAGAGGCTCAGAGACAGAGAGATGCAGCAATGCGATCAGGGAGAGAGAAAAGAGGGAGTAAGAGACTTAGGGAGAAGAAGGTATACCCTTTCTTTTCGAAAGAAAAGCTGCGGATACAGACAAAGTCAATCTAGACATAGAAATATCAAGAATAAGCTTTGGAACCAAAGAGAATAGAGTTTGAAATAATCAGGGAAGACACAAAGTGCTAGCAGGAGAGGGGAATACAAAGACAAGTGTATGAAAAGAGAGAAAACACAATCTGAAAGGAAAAGTCAGACATAATGTTACAGAGAGACACAGACACAATAAAAAGTCTTGCAAGATAGACACATAAAAGACAAGAGACACTGAGAGGGAGATTTTTTAAAAAAAAAAGCTTAGGTGCAAAGACCCCATGACAGATAACCTTGACAAGAGACAAAGAAACCAAGCACATATTGGAATGCTAACTACCAGGTCAAAGGCAGCCAGAAGGACAAGGTAGGTATCAGCCACATCTCCAGGATAAACCTCTCTCGTCCCCAGGGGCTTATTCTGACCCAACCATCCTTCTTCAATCTGTGACAGCCAATGACATCATTTCCACCATGTTTGGTGAGCACTTTAAGTACCAGGACCCCAAATTTCTGTGGCTGCTAAGTTTACTGAATGAATTTTTAAAAATTGAGTTTACTGGCACTTTTTAAGTATACAGTACAGTTACATTTATCATTGGGACTTTTTACCTTTATGTGACAGATCTTGGTTCTCATTTTTTCCCATATCCCTGCCCTCCCTTCACCCCCGCCACCATCCCCTATTTACAAAGACTTTGTTTCCATTTTTTCCTTATCTCATATTTTTTCTTTTCCCTTATTTCCTTTCCCCTACCCTTTCCACTTACCCTACACGTTTAGCCCTTTTCTTCCTATTTCACATTGTCAGTTATAATTTGGATCTTATTTACACTTTTAGTTTTTCACACCAGAAGGGTCCTGATATCCCCACAGCCCCACCAGCATTTGTTATGGGTTTATTTATTGATAGCAACCATTCTTTCTGGGGAGAAATTGAATCACAGTGTTTTTTTCATCTGCGTCTCTCCAATAACCAGTGATGTTGAACTTTTTTTTCATATGTTTATTTGCTGCTTTTACTTCTGTCTGAGAATGTCTGTTCATTTCAGATGACCATTTTTTAATTGGGTCTTTATATTTGGGCCATCTGATTTTAAAATTTCTTTCTGTATTCTAGGTAGTAGACCTTTGTCTGAGGAGCAGCTGATTAAAAAAAAATCCCACATTGTGGGTTGTCTCTTAGCTCTATTGGTGATTTCTCTGGAAGTGCAGAAACTTTTTTAAAAGATGAGATCCCAATTTTTTATTCTTTGTGCTAGTTCCTGTGCTGCTGAGGATTTGTTCATAAAGTCTTTTCCCACATCGATCTTCAAGAGTTCCACAAAACTTATCTTCCCCTGCCCTCATTTTTCTCACTGAGATTATCTACTACACACCTATCCTTGCAGTTCAAATGCTTCACCCACAGAGGAAGCTGTAGCCACAGGACAATCCCACTCAGGGGCCAGAACCACAGAAGCTGAGCAGTGTGGTCATGATGTTAGTCAGCTTTCCACCCCTGTGCTGAAATATATAAGACAATTAACTTACAAAGAATAAAATTTATTTGGCTTCACAGTTTCCAGTCCATGACAAGGTGGTTGCATTGGGCATGTGGTGGGTGGGTACAGATGGCAGTTATGGGGAGAACATGGTAGAGGGAAGCTCACATCCGAAGGTGGGAAGAGAAGAGACAGGACCCTAAAATCCCCTTCAGGGGTACACATCCAATGATCTAAGGAATTTTGCACAAGGCCCCAACTGTAAAAGTTCCACTACCTTCCAAAGGACCACTTGGGGTATCAATCACTTAACACATGTACCTTTGGGAACGTTCAACATCCAACCTAGAGCACTCAGCCTGAACCCTGCAAAGCCATCTGTTCAGACCCATCCAAATCTCACTTATCTGTAACTCTGATGAATTAGCTGTTCCCACCAGGGTTGGACCTGTGTTTTGTTGGGAAGAAGACAGCTCAAGCCTAGGTTAGAGATAAGAAGAAACAATCTCAACAGCAAGAGACAGACCTGAGGTTATGACATCAGATTCAGGCCAGGATAGGCATGCAGGGATAGAAGGTAGGGATGAGCAGACTGAGTAGTAAGGAAGGAGATAGAGGTGGGAGAGAAGGAAGAAGAG